GTTAAGGGGCCGATGCGTTTGTATGGGTTCCCAGTACCAACAGTTGATGTTGAACCGTCTCGGTACTTCTATCAGAACCTTGGAACAAGCATTAATGGTGCACACGTTGCTGATATCAATGGTGATGGTGTGGATGAGCTGGTCGTTTTCAGTACGTCAGGGTGTCACTGCGGTACGCGCTGCTTATTTTTTCTTCGAAACCTGAACACCCTGCTGCATTTTCATTTATTCGTGAGCTCAGTTCGAAAATTTTCATTTGTTGTTCACGTACAACTAGTTTGTGTGCAACATCTCCCATGTTTTTTGCCATCTGTTACACTGTCTCACATCGCAGAAGAAATATTCCACTGTGCAAAAAGCAGAGAGGAGAATTTGCCTGTTTTAAGCCTTCTTTGGGGAAACTGACTCCTGGCGCCATTTGGTCACAATGTCCAGCGAATTAAAAATAAGATAGTGCTATGTTTACGAGTTTTTCTCAAAGAGCTAATATGGTTCGTAGTGGGGATGCAACACAACATACTTGTTTGTTTTACCTCACCGCGGCGGTTTTTCACTTCTTTGACAAATAGTAATATCTAGCTTAGCTACAGGAAAGACTACTACATGCAGCAACCGTGCTGTCAAGATACGATATCTTAGCGCTAAATCGGAGATGACAGCTTTCGCAATAATTAACTAAAAGTGAAAGTTTTTCTTTGACTTTATAAATCCAAGATTGGCCCTCAAGTTTTAGCTTCTTATTGTATGCAGTTTGAAAATGAATCAGTTAGTATAAACGGGCACACAGACAATTATCACTAAAATTTTTATGAGATATGGTCTAATTTGGGCTTCATAATGACTTGTACTGAAACAGACAAAAAAGTGGAGTAAGGCTTTCTATAAGTTATCTTATTTCAGTTATTCCCCCAGAACAGTGACGGGTAAGCTGTTAAAGTGCTAGAATAATATACTAAGTATACTACAGCTATAATCCGTATGACACACCATCCAAAACTACAAGCATCATTCAAACCCCAGTGGAGGAAATCTGAACATTTTTAACGTCTTTAACATCCTGAACGTTTTAATTTCAGCTAAATTTTCAATTCC